GAGAGGTAGAGCTTGAAAGAGAGGTGCTTTTGTATTAACGGGGGGGAGGGGCACTAACCTACTTTTTTAAGTTCAAAAAGCCAAAAAAGCAACATAATAGCATTTCCATAATAATAGTTTTTAGAGAAAATTAGCTATATTTTAAGTAAAAAACCCACTAAAAACTTGCGAACTTTGAAAAATGGAAAATTTGGTTGCTAACGCGCATTTTTTGGCTTTTTTTATAAAATTTGTAATGTTGTTGTGCTTGGGAATAGTTAAAAAAGCTTGGAAAATTCTTGTCTACATTTCATAGAAAAATTTCATCCTAAGGAAGAATGGCTGTCGCCCTGATAACCCCCCCCCCCCGATAATGCAAAAGTACGGAACGAGATGAAAAGTTGGTCCTCGGACGTCATACTCCCTCTAAAACGCCAGGTATACAAAAAATAAGTCCAAAACAGACAAAAAGTGAAAAAGAAGCTTCTCCACCTCGCGCTCAAATCCCTTTAGGGTGTATTTAGGGGGAGCGAGTGGTTGTGGCTGTGGTTTTCGCCCCGTTTCGGATTAGGGAGCTCTGTGGGGAGGATAGAAGAAACCTCGTCCTCCCCTTCGCGACAGCTAGAGAGGGAGAGTGGCGTGCCGATGGTGGGGTGGGGAGCATCAGGTGTAGAAGCTGGCTCTCCCCGCGGTGGTTCGTGTGGTTGTGGGGGATAATAGATGGTTTGTGGGGGGAGGGGGATGATGGATGGATGATGCCTGTAGGGGTGGAGGATTGTTGCCAAAAGCCGCCACAGGGGAAGCTTGAAATGCTGAAAATGAGCTTGAGGTCGAGGGGCGAGCTGGCGGAGATCATTTGTGGGAATTCAGAAAAAATTTGGTGCAGGTTAGCAGAGATTGCTTAGGAGGGGGTCGAGAGAGACAGAGAGAGAGCGAGAGAGAGAGATAGAGAGAGAAAGAGCGAAAGAGAGAGCGATAGAGAGAGAAAGAAGCAGAGAGAGAGAGAGAGAGAGAGAGAGAGAGAGAGAGAAAGGATTTCACCGGAACGCCCATCAACCGATTACGAGCAACCGTCGGGAGGGCCAGAATTGACGGCGAAAACCGGGGGAGGTGAAAGCCACCGTAACGGCGCTGATGGAGGAGGAGGAGACAGGGGAGCAAGAGCCGAGACTTCAAAACAGATTTCGCTCGCCAGTAATTTCTTGTGGCGGGTAGCGCGGCGACCCCCTTGGGGTTGTGGAAGGAACTGGGGGAGGCACAGAATCAAGAAGTCAAGTGGACGACAGGTTATAGTGACTTGTAGAGTGGGAATGATGTTTTAAAGGGACGATGCCAGCTGGTTCAGCAAGCTTAAGGCTAAGCCCTAAGCCACGCGAAGGCTATCATGCCAAGCCTAAGCCTAAGCTTAAGCCTAAGCCGAGGCCAAGTCTCCCTAAGCCTAAGCCTAAGCCGAATCTAAGCGCAGTGACTCAGGCATAAAACTCGAAAACCCAATCATAACCATAATTTCCGGCCTTTCAGATCGTCAACCCCGGAGGGCGGGAACGCGGTCGGATACATACATAGATGGGCGGCTGCTGGAAGTTGAGTGGTTCCGGGGAGGACGAGAGAGAGAGAAAGAGAGAGAGAGAGTGAGAGAGAGAGAGAGAGACAGAGACAGAGAGAGAGAGACAGATAGACAAGTCAATGGGGAGACTGTCTCGCACAAGGAGCGCCACCTCTTCACCCCCTATTCGATGTATGTAAGCACCAAGCCATGCCTATGGATTCACCCCCTCCCCCCACCCCCACAAGTATTCCTTTCCTGCCCCGGAATGCATCTAGAAGGGCGGATGGACAGGTTGCGTGTGTCGTCAGGCGCAAAAAGATGCCCTCTATGCACCGTTATACAGTCACCAAGGGGTGACTGTAGGGGGTTAAAGAGACTTGTAAGCCATCAAAATTCTATGGATCTGGGCAAATAGGCCAAAACAAAGAGAGACCTAGAGAGAGAGCGAGAGAGGGAGAGGGAGAGAGAGAGAGAGAGAGAGAGAACCTGTGGAAATTCGGGAAGACTGTAGTCGTTACCATCACGAAGTTGCGCCAACAAGGAAGCTTTGCTCCTTACCGTATAGGTGGAGCGTTACGTCCTTTTTACAGGAAATTGGCGCCTAAGCCTAGCCTAAGCCTAGCCTAAGCCTAGCCTAAGTCTAGCCTAAGCCTAGCCTAAGCCTAGCCTAAGCCTAAGCTAAGCTCAACAAGGACCTAGACCACGTTGAAAAACAAAGTATCGTTTCGGAAAACAAGGGGTATCTCATGCAAAACGGGGTGGGAGTCAGATGGTGGGGGTGGCGGGGTAGGTGGGTCCGGTTGATGATGCGAGGAAGGGAACAAGAAGAAGAAGAAGCCCGGCCATGGGTAACCGGATCGTCGCCAAACAGAAGCCGCCGCCCCGACCGCCCCGATGGCCCAGAAGGCAAGAAGATGAAGCATTGGCGAAGACGATGAAGAAGCGGACGATGGTCGTTGTGACATACACCAATACACCCACATGTGGGAGAGAGAGAGAGCGCGAGAGAGAGAGAGAGAGAGAGCGAGAGAGTCGGAATATTGCCCGGCATCCGGAGTCGTGGCCAGCAATCCGTTCCCGATTTTTGGAGGCTTTTGGAAGGGGAAAATTCTCACGGGTGTTTGATGATCAAGCCCAAGAGTTAAGCCTGAGCCTAACCTAAGCCTAAGCCAGGCCTAAGCCTAATCTCTACCTATTTCCGCTTCACCGCGATGATAAAATTTCCGGGTTTAGAGGGATAGCAACACCAAAAAAACCATTTTTGACCAAAAATTATATTGTACGCATGGCTACGTCAGTACGCTAGATTTGTAGGCGAGAACGAGAAAGATGGGGAGTGAGAGAGAGGGAGAGAGAGAGCCATAGAACTGGTTAGCACTGCGAGAAGTTTTTTTTGAAGAATTTGGTCTGGAGTGAGAAAAAGTCTCCTAAACACGAAAATATTCCTGTAATTACAGCGTCAAAAGGCGCCGCGCGGAACCCCCAAAAGTGCCCGAGAATAGTTTGGCGTTCCACAGAGCTGGTGGTGCCCGGAATATTTGCATAGGGTTCTGAAGGAGGGTGGCCGGGGAGGGAGGAAGACGAGTGCCCAGGTGAGGGATCGATGGTTGGTCAGAGGGCGGTGGACACCATTCCAGCCCTCCTACCCCCCGCATACACACACCAGTACCTGCGTCAAGGCCACCGCCCTACCCCCCCCTCACTATGATCATTAATTATTTTGGGTGGCTGGCCGACAGCCAAGGCCATGAAAGGGGCCTACCGATTGGGGGGACGGTCGCCTACAGAGTGCTGCTAATGACTGCCCTGGGTGCTAATTGGATCGAAGCGTAAACCGAAGCCTAAGCCGATGTCCACCAGTCCAAGCCTAAGTTTAAGCCTAAGCCTGAAACCGACCCTAATCTCGCCGATATTAAGGAAAAACTAAAGCTTAGAAAATTGCTACAAAACGCTTACCTACTGTAGATGAGCCTACTGTAGTTATACAAATTTTCGATTCAGCTTTGAATAGCTTTGAATAAACTGGGAAAATCGGATTTTTGAGAGAGTGAGAGAAAGAGAGAGAGTGAGAGAGACAGAGAATGAGAGAAAGACAGAGAGACAGATGGAGAGAGAGAAGTGAGAAAGACGGATAGAGGAAGACAGCGAGAGAGAGAGAGAGAGAGAGAGAGAGAGAGAGAGAGAAAGAGCGAGAGAGAGCGAGAGAGAAAGAAAGAACATCAGATTTAGGGGTTAATCGGGACAAATAGCGATTTGAAAGGATGCTTTAAAAATTCAAGATTCGCGAAAGATACCGTAGTCCGCAGAGCGAGAGTAAGAGAGAGAGAGAGAGAGAAAGGTATAGAGAGAGTGAGAGATAGACACGCAGCTAGAGAGAGTGATTGAGCAAACCTATTAGTCAACAACCAACTCTGACCCCTGCTAATAACAAACCCAAACAAAGCCAATCAACCCATGTGCAGTGGGCAACCAATCGAGTTATTATTGGCAAGTGAGAGGTGGTGGGAAGGTAGGGAGGTGGGTGCATGGCGGGTGGGGGCATAATGGAGCGCCTGAAGGTGTATACCGGATGGGTGACATGAGGCCATAAAAGGGGAGGAAATGGCTCTCTTTCTCTCTCCCAAGGACACCGATGCCTCCCGATCATGCCTTTGGCAACTCGGTAAATATTCCGGCGGGTGGAGGTGGCAAAATTCGAGCTAGCGAAAGTATAGCTTGAAAACAAGGGGCAATTCTGTTCTTTAGAACATGGAGGTCGTTTTATTAGAATTTTCAGGTAGGTTTTTTATATATCTTAAACTTATCGACTTCTAGCTATGTTAAACCATCCACCGATCCCAATTTTTCCGGCACGATCACTATCTATCCAGGCAGAAATTTCGACGCCTCAGCGGCCCCTAAAAAAAGGTTGCACCTCGAAGTCACGCTCCCGCGCCCTCACGCCACGCACAAGAAATTTTGGAAATGGGGGAACGGCGAGCTCGGCGGGGCGAGAAGCCCGCCAACAGATTACATCTATTCGATTTTGGAGGGTGTCGCTGCTGCCGCTGTTTCGTCGACAGGTTCGAACGATAATAAAGTCCTTGAAATCGAGGGTGAGTTTGATTTTCCAAAAGGTAAACTTTGGAGTAAATCAAGAAGCTTTTCCCTTAAAAATTTTCTTCGAAATCGACGATTTTGTATAAGGCAAATTTTCGAGTACATCAACAAGCTTCTCCTTCAAAAATAACCCTTATACATTTTCTTCGAAATCGTCGATTTTGTATAAGGCAAATTTTCGAGTAACTAAACAAGCTTCTCCTTCAAAAATAACCCTTTTACATTTTCTTCGAAATCAAATCAATCAAAACACAATCAATCTTTATTACCCGGAAGTCAAGACACCTGGGGAGATCATCGGGCGAGACACACAAGCGACAAAAAAAACGATCAAGATAGAAAAGTACAACAAAAAAAAAGATTAACACGATCAGTCGTCGAATTCGAGACTCTCATCACCGTCCGCCACATCCATCGTCCCTTGCGAAGTGTCGACGTCGTGGCTGAAAATTTATGTTTTTCGAGTATCGGATCGGTTCGTCTATCAAGGCGTTATTTTGCAATATCGGAGGGGGGGAAGGGGATTAATGTAATAGACAGACAGCGTTTTTGATAAACGTTTGAGATCTTTGAGTGGAAAAAAACTATGCTGAGAATTGAGAAAAATTTGTCGAAAAACTACTAATTTTCAGATAATAACGATTTGTCTTTTGACGTTGAAGAATAGAAAAATGTTCCCCCGATATAGCAAAACACCGGAGAAAGCTAAACGCACCGTGTCGATTGATCAGCCATTTTCGCGTGCTCCGTTTCGCCATTAACGTTGCTCAAGTCGTTGAGCATCTTCTGGCCGTCCGGGCGTGTCTAAAGCACACAAAAACTTAGTGATTTCGAGGTCCGGCTCACCTCTTCGTGATCCATGCACAGCATCGCGTAGAACTTTGCCGCCTGCCAGTTCTGGCGCTCGAACGAGTAGTTGGACAAAAAGCGCAGCACGTAGTGCACATCCTTCTCATCAGCAATCTGAAGAGCACGGAGTGTCTAGCCAAAAACATTACACTTACACTCCCAAAGGCGTTCAGGTATTTTTCGTAGGCTTTCGCCGTTTCCTCGATGGGCCCCGTCCGCTCGTTGACCCTGCCCAGCAAAAACAGCGCTGTGCCTTCGACGTCGCCATTCAGGAAGGCCTTCATGAAGCAGCGCTTCGCCTCGTCAAACTGAAAATACAATTTTCAGAAATCGTCGAAAACCTTTTTCTTAAAAATTGGCACTGCCATCTTACACCCTTTTTCAATTTTCGGAAATCCTCATTTTCGAAAATTTTACGCAAAAACCCGCGAACAGCTTTTCGAAAATGTTCATGAAAATTTGGCAAAAAACTGACCGATCCCACTTTGCTGAACGCCTCGCCGAGCCCGACCAACATCCTCGAGTCGTACGGCCTAGACGAAGGAAATGATGCCAGCCGAAAAATATTCTACCGTAGATTGAACGCCATTTTGTAGTAGCGAAGACTGTGCGAGTAGATTTTGACGATGTCGTAGAGCGTGGCGAGCCCATAAAACGGTGCCGGATCGTGTGGGGACAGCTCTGAAATTGGTGGCAATAATTTTAAGCGCCAAATTTTACCAGATGCCCGTCGATAGGCCATTGCCGCAGCGGGGTGCATTTTCAATTCCATGTACTCGTGCCCGATCAGGGTCCAAGGGCTAGAAACCGATAAAATTCATGTAACGGCATAAGGGCCTACCGCGAGTTGAACGGGTTCAAGCGTACAGCCCTCTCGAATGCACGAATAGCCTTGAAGTGGTCGGAGCGCAGCGCGTGAAAATTTCCTAGAAAAACTTAACGTACGCAAAATAAAGTGCACCTGTGATCATACAGTGCTCCCATTTGAAGCGCTGACCCCAGAATCGAGCCAAAAGTTGGTAGAGCGTGGAGGGCATGTTCTAAAAAAGCCAATTTTAACCGTAGCAAGCCGCAAATACCAGAACAAATAGCGAATTGGCGTAATTCTCCATGCCGTGGATGCGAGCCGGGTCTAGCTTGAGGACGTTCTCGTACTGTTCTTGCGCTTCTATGTTTTCTAAAACAAAAATAATGAATAAATTTCCAGCTGCTGATTACCGTAGAGATCATGGTGGCAGAAAGCGATGTGCTGGATTAGCGTTGGTTGATTTGGAAGCCCGCTGCTTAGCAAGCTAAAGCGGCCATAATTAAAACCTGGAAACAGCTACAACCGCTTAGTTTCAAAACGAAAATTAAGTTAAAGTTAGTTTACCCTATCGCAGATTGTAAGCTTTCCTGGAACAGCCCGAGTTTCCCAAGAGCGTACATTTCGAAGAGATTCTAAACATACAAAATAAAGCCTCAAATTTTGAAACCCAACCTGAAGCCAGTACGTCTGCTTGGACTCGTTGAATTGGTTTATGAGCTCCTTCAGATGGCGCTCGCCTTGGCTGTTCTTGTAAATCGCTTCATACGCGGGCCAGAATCTTAAAATCGCTGAATTCAACCCTAGAAGAAAAAGACAAACCTCTTCTCTCGTCGGATACAATTTGCGAACCGGTTCCAAGCGGTGTCAAATTGCCCAAGTGTAGCCTCGACGCGGCCGAGCCTGGAATTGAAGCTCAAAAATATTGGAATCCCTTACAGATATTCCATAAAAATATCTGCTTCCGGTGGCTCTTGTTTCTTCTTGGTGGCCAGTTTGGGTAATTCTAATTCTTGCAAAAGAGTTCGGTGAAGATCTTCTAGGGTCTAAATTGCCAATAACCCATTCAAGAAGAAAAATAAACTTACACCCACATACAGCCCGCGTTGCTTGTCATCGACGGGTTGCGCTTGGTCATTCGGCAGCGCCAACCGCTTTTCGTAAATTGCACCTTCTTCAGTCAAGCGTAATTGAAGGATGGCCTAAATTCCGAATGTCGCCAAGATTTCTACATATAAACTTACTAAATATCGCGCCCAGTAGTGCAGAAACCTTGCCCCCTCGTCTCGATCTTTCGCCTTCCCAAAAAAATAGCTCGCTCTAAACGGAAGTGACAAGAAATTTATAAGCAACTACCGGTCCAGCTCTTTCGTGTTCATCAACGCTCTCCCCAGCAGGATATACCGATTTTCGGCAATAACCTCGTGGGGATGCTAAAATCACGTCACAATTCTGCAGCTTATCATTACCGGCGGGACAACAAGAACCAAATCCGATGCCTCAAAGGCTTGGTACATCGCATCGTCGCAGTGAGCGAGGATTTCTGCAGCCCTAAAAATACCTAAAGCAAAGAGAAAAACGCTTACCAAGCCACTGTGTCATTCATACACCGCCGCGAGCACTCGAACGTCAGCCATTGAAGATCGGCGATTACCTGAGTATTTACAAAAGTAATAAATAAAGATTTTCTATTTACCTCATCCGGCTTAATCAGCAACTCTGCGTTTTTTGCCCACGGCACTTCCCGGGTGCCGCTCGGATCGCCTGGTCCGAACATCGGGTGGCAATTTTCTGAAAATTCGTTATTTCAAGGGATTTTTAGAGAGTTCTAAATAAGAAAAAACAGTTTTCAATGGTAAAATAGTAAATAAGGCCCTTTTCACAAAAAAAATAGCTTCTCCAGTTTCCTTTTTGAGGGGTGAAAGGGCGATTCTTACAAGTTTCCATCCTTTTAAAATGTCGTTTCTTGGCTGGAGCTTCTACTTTGTTTTATAAACTGTTCTAAAGCATTTTTTTTACAAAGTTTGGATCCATTTTTGGGCGACCGCGCGTAAATTGCGTTCGGGGAGCGGAGCATCGTGTAGCGATCGCGCCCGGCACCCGCGAAAATTAGACCCCCGAGATATGAAATTCGTAAATGAAACGCTTTTCTGTAATTCCTTTAAAATATAGTTTCTTTGTCATAATCTTCTATTTCTAGACTTCTATCGACAAATCGATGGCTCCTTTAGGGATGTCGCAAGGCAATGAGCGCCAAGAACAACCGCCCAGCGGCCATCACAGCGAAGATGTCATCCGGTCAAAAGCTTTGCTGGCGTAAGGATTTTTATCGAAAATGTAGTTTCTTTTTCAGAGACCTAGGCGTCGAGGAATATGACCCGAAAGTTTTGGATCTACTGAATGATGTAAGGTTTTCGTTATTGCGCTTGGATAAGCTAAAGTATAAATTCTTTTAAGCCCGGCGTTAAATCTTTTTTTTTTTGCTTCGGCTACTGCGTTAAGAGAATCGTTAAATTCTGGTTTTTCTAGATTGCCTACCAAACGGCCACGGAACTACTCAACACAGCGCGATCGGTCTCTACGCATTGCGGAAAGTCTTCAATTGGTTAGGCTGTGTTGTTCTGCCCGTCAAATTTATATTTAGAAGTAACTGACGTGCGAATCGCGAGCGAATTTCTTGGATATAATAGAGCGGACGGGCCAACGCGAGATCAGATTACGCAGGTTTGTACTTTCACCTTGTCTTTAGGCGAATTTCTGTAAGCAGTATCGGCGCCTACGTCTCGAGCGACTTTCTAATTCTTGAATTCCCCTCGTTTAGATAGCCAAGCACACGAATGAACAACCTCTTCCCCAAATCAGACACAGCAACGGCTTGAAGCTGCCTAACGATCGTTTTTGCTTGTTGCAAAATAACGTCAGGTGGAGGATGGACAACCCGCCTCCCGCGAAGTGAGCTATTTTACCTGACTGTCCATTGTCTGTATTGCAAGTAATATATCCCATTTTCTAGACCTGCTGCCCACCTCGGTGCCGGTGACATGCCCACCCAATTCCGCCCCGAACAAGTCAACGCTATGCTAAAGCGAAAGGCGCCGGCAGACGATTTTGACTAATCCCGACCAATTTGCTATCTTTCTTTTTTTTTTGGTTCTCGCTTCCACGGGTCGCTGTTTTCCATTTTCGCTCTCATTCCCTGATTTCTTTGTGCTAATAAAATATATTACAGATATGTCAGGCGGTCCGTTCGGCAAGCCGCTGTTCGGCACTCCCGCCGTCGCGCCGATTGGCGGTGACAATGTAAGTTTTTTAACTTTATTTTGTCATAATCATGATCAAATGTAGGCTCTCAACGGGGATTCGAGCGGAAAGAACGAGACTCCCGTCGACCAGAATCAGCCCAAGCGATTCACGTTCAAGAAATCTGCTCTCAGCTCTGTAGCTGACAATATGTGGAAGAAAAGTGAGGATATCTATTTTTAGCACACTTTTTCAAGTGGCTGACGAATATATTATACGCCATTTTTTAGGCCAATCGGTATTCAATACCGACCAAAAGAGCACACCAGTGCAGCTGGAAAAGAAGACACTGAATGATGTGTTAGGTGAGGAGCCACTCTTAAGAAGAATCTTGTTTTAGGCAAAGCCGTAGCGGACAAGGAGAAGAAGGAGGCCGAGGAGAAGCCATCCGTCATCTTCGGCTCGCAAGTTAAGGAGAAAGTGCTAGGAGTAAGAGCCGCAACTCGATCCAACATCCAATTTAGGAAATTCCGACTACAGATGAGCCCGCCTCGAGCACGAGTACGTCTACTGAGGTCCCGAAGTCTAGTCTTACGCAGGAGGTAAAGTACTTTAATAGATGAAACAAATTTATTTAGGCGACGGCTGAGTCGACGACGAAGTTCCGTGAGGAATCCGCCAATGTAATTTTTATTTATTTGGGATATTTCGTCATTTTTAGGCTGCCGAGGCTTTGAAGCGGGAAAAGGAGAAGCACCTTGCTGAAGAGGTAGAAGTGAAAACGGGCGAAGAGGGTGATCGAAATATTTGTCAGGTATGTACTTCCTAGCTTTTCAAAAAGATTTTTTAGGCTGCCTGCAAGCTGCACGCCTTTGATAAGGAAAAGAAGGTCTGGGTCGAGCGGGGACTTTGTCAGGTAATTTTGAAACGACGTCTTTTATAATTTATACCGATTTCAGCTACGGATCAACAAACGGCAAGAGGACACCGAGACTCACTATCGGATCGTCGCCCGTTCTACGGGCAACCAACGGGTCATCATCAATTCTAAGGTTCTACTGCTTTATTGTTCGTAACAATTTTTTCAGATTTTCTCCGACATGTTCCTGGAACGGGTTGACCGCAAGCGCATCAAGCTGTCGGCGACAGGGCCTGATTGTGACGCTCCGCAGATATTCCTCGTCTCGCTGAACTTTTCTGTAAACGTCTTTTTAAATTCTTTGTTACGATAAATTTTTTTCAGAAAACCGATCAGACGGCCGAAACAGTTTTCAACCACCTCGAAAATTGCCTGGCCACTGAGACTCCAGCCGAACAGCGCAAGCGGAAGGCCAGCGAGCAGCACGCGGAAAACTCGGAAAGCGGTAGTTTCCCCTATTTAGTAGTTGATCCAATGAATTTCAGATTCTAAACTGCAAAACAAGCGTGAGAAAGTCGTCGACGAGGAGGAGGAGACCGAAACGACGACGGAATCCACGGAAGCTGACACTTCGAAGCCGACGGATGAGGGAGAGGACGGGTCAGAAAATGATGGATCTTGTCAGGTAATAATGTTGAGGCTTGTTTCCATTGGTATATTCTTACAGGGTACCTCAAGCGAATCGAAAGACTCTACCCAGGACACTTCCGGCGAAACCGAAACCGCCGCCTAGACCGATTATCCATTTCCGATCCCCCGTTATTTCGCCACTCACCTCATTACCCTCTTTCTCGCGGTTCTATTAGTACGGAGAAGCTTTTATTGGTTGTCAAAGTCTCCCCCATTCGGTGAAGTATCGTGTTGCCGCAAACCTCTTTTCCACTTTCCTTGATATTGATGATGTGCACGCGCTATTTATCTAAGTGTTAAAAATTTGAATGAAAAAGCTTTAACCCATCTGGAAATTACAATACATGCATTGGTCTTGTCGGTCGAAGAGAGGGGAAACTGGTGTCAAATTACGAGCATTTCCGCGCCGCTGATGCAGGACGACGGTCTCCACTTCGGGCCGCGCCTTTACGACGAAGACGAGGTACGGTTCGGAGCTTTTGGTGGCGTCCTCAGGAATCTGCTGTTCTTTTATCAGCTTACCGGCTTACACCTTTCTGGGACTTCTAGAATCACGCCAAAACTTTCGTCCCCCCCCTGATAATGAGCGAGGACCCGATGTACCTGTTAGGTGTCGTCGGCCGACGAGCGCTTCGATTCGAACGAGTCGGCGGACTTTGGACTGGAAGGGGGCGACATGGCCCCGCACGAGCGCTTCATCAAGGAGCAGGCCCAAAAGGACAAGAACAAACTGAATGAGGTGCTGCCTGAAATGCGAAACTTCATTTTCTAACTCAGGCCCGCCTGAACGCTATCGGCGACGATCTGGCTTCGACGATCGGCGAACTGCGCGAGGCTGCTGACGTTGCCCAGTTGATGCGCCGCGCGCTCAGGGACTCGAGGAAGTGAGCAGCTACTTTCATATTTTACTGATTTTTTAAAACTTTTTTTTTGTAGCAAAACGATGGAGCGACTGGTCGAATTCGAGGGCACCTACAAGGGCGTCAGCAACATGGCCCAGCAATACTCGGATATGGTGTGCAGCTGCAACATATATTTTTAGGTTCTTTATAGTTTGACTATGGCATCGCCGACTGCACGAAGAAGGTGACCGCCGTCAACAAGCAGGTCAACGACTTGGACTGGCATCTGAATAGCGTCGGTTTTTCAAATTTGTTTTTTTTTTGTATTTTCGGGGGGTATTTTCAATCTAATTTTTGTTATGCGTCTAGATAAGCTTAGTGTTGTGATAAGGCGGTTTTTATCTCATCCCGCTCGCCAGCAACACTTAGTAATTTAATACCAAGTATTTTAATACTATTTTTATGAAGTGTAACTAGCTAGGAATTTAAGAAAATGTCCAAAGACTGGAAATTCGCACTCAAAAAAGTAATAATTTTTTGCACTTTTGTCTGACTTTTAAATCAGCAGAATCGGGCCCTAAACCCCCCCCCCCCTCCCGATAATACGGAAGAACCTTCATTATTAGTGATTTTGGTGACATTTCAGGCCGACTCGCTTGTCGAGGCGCTGGAGTCGGTGCGTGGCGTCACGCTGCTGATGGACGCTCGCATGGAGCCGATGGAACAACTGTAAAAATATGTTTCAAAACAATAAAACTTCCAGCGCCCGTCGCCGAGCCGAAAATGCTCAGTGGCAGCACTTGCTCGAGGTGGACGTGAGTTTTAATTTAGTTTTGAATGTCTAAAACCATTTTTTCCAGATCGACAAGATTCTCGCCGCCCAGCGCCAGTTCCGCGCGTTCATCGACCGCCCGCCCACGCAGTTCGGCTCGACCACCTGGAACGCGTCGGTGGCCAGCGAGGTAATCTCAATTAGACCTTCTTGTAAAGCTTTATTTAGATGGCTCGCCAGATGAGCAACGTGCGGCTGATCTTTGCCCGCCTCCACCACATCATCGACGAGTCCGAGGAGGCCAGGGAGTGCAACGAGTTTTCCCACCAGGCCCGTCTGCTCGCCTCGGCCATTGCCGACATTGAGGTACGTTTGTTTTTCCGAAATTTTTCCAGTTTTCCTTTCAATCTCATTTTGTTTAGCTGCCAATCCTGATCGCCGAGCCGGGCGGCACGGGGATGCACGAGATGGCGTCGTGGGCCGAGCTCAGCACGTATTCCACACAACACGTCACCTCGAGCGCCAGCAAGCCCTTGGCCGCCGAGCCCCCGCACACTGACCATGTGAGCATGAGCTAAAATATTTTACACTTTTCCGTCATTGGGGAGACGGTTCAAGGTTGGTTTTAACATTCCTCAACGTAACAACATGGTTTTGTTGAAGAAAATGCAAAAATTTACAAAAATCAAGTTTTCGAGCCAGAATTCCCAATTTCGCCTTTATTTTAGACATAAAATGACCAATCTCGACTCCAGCAAAAAGAGCCGAATTCATTTTCAGTCGGCCCTGCCCACGCACCTCAGCTACTCGGCCGAGTCGTTCAAGTCGGCCCTGGAGAAGCTGCCCGAGGCGAACGCGACCAGCTCGAAAATCCAAGTCGAGGTACAATTGTTCTGATCCTTGACCTCACCTATTTTCCAGATCACCGAAAGCGAGACTCGTCCGATGTTCGCGCCGACGACCGTCACTGAGGACGTTGGTTTTTCCCGCTTATATATCTAAACTGTTTTCAGAAGGACTTTGTCAACCCGGAGCCCCAGTCGCCAATGTGCCCGACGGCCCGTCACAAGTCGGCCGACTCGGTGGTCACCGCGGACGTGCAGCCCTCGGAAGCTGCCCAGAATACGTGCGACACGGACACGGCCGACTGCCGCACGGCCTGCGAGGTGTGTCGATTGTTTTATGCTATTTTTGGATGCCAAAAGTTCATGAATTAATAAAATTGTTGTCTTCAGATCACCGGCCTGCTGTCGTCGAACGCCGACGAGAGCTTGGTCGAGCCGCTCGCCTCGGTGTTGACCGCCTTGGAGGAGGTTGAGTACCCTATCAGTCTCACTCACGTTCCGCCCTTTTTAGTCGATGACCAGCCTGAGCCTGAAGACGGCCACCGCCAGGGGAACTCGCTCCACCTCGTCGTCTGCCGTAACGGCCGCCTCGGCTAGCCTCGACAGCTTGGTGGTAGGTGGGCCCCCGCCGGCCTTCGAATAACTGTGGTCCCCCCACTGGATTCAGAGCATGCTGACGGCCCGGGGACTGTCCGTCGAGGACCTGCGTACCGCCCTCACCACCACCACGACGCCCACCCGCACGGCGCGCTGGGCCGATGAGGTGAGGAATAAATCAAGTTTTATCCAATCATTTCTTTGAAGTCAGCGCTCACAAAGGGAAGTAAAAATAAAAAAAACCGATAAAATTCGTCTCTAAATTTAAAAATTGTTGTTTTGGATGTCCGGCTTACCTGTTTGCGACGGCGTGCACGCACAGCGTTCCCCTAGCCTGGCCAGGCGTGCCCTGTCTGGCATCCGTCGCATGCTCAGTTGCCGCGCGTTCTTGCGGGCCAGCCGCAGCAAACAGGCAAGCCGGACATTCCGGCTGCCAAATCAAGCCCCACCGCCTTTCAGCTCAACACCGAGTGCACCCAGAACGATGTCTCCTTCGTGGGCACCGATTAAATCTTCGAAACTCCCCTGCTCCTCCTCCTCACCGTCGAAGCACATCTTTCTCATTCTCTATTCAAAAGCCATTCCTCGAACAAGTGGATCTCCATCCTGCGCCCTGCACATTCTTGCCTGCTCACCTGTATTATTCGACCGTTAATAAATCGGGTGTGATTTTATTTACACGTATGATTGCTGATGGAGAGTTTATTGAACAGAGACCAAACGGATGATGGAACTTGAAAAATAAGAAAAACAAAAAAACATCATTCGCCGCCGAAGCGCTCGTTGATCATCTCCTGGATCTCGTGGAAGTTGCCGCGCTTCATCACCTGCAAGCGAAAATCTTCGAAAATCAATAAACAAAACGAGCCTTGAGCATTTCCTCCTGTTTTCGCTTCCGGAAACGCCGCCGCGCAGACTTTGACATTTCCTCCGGGCCGAGCAGCTGCTAAAATTTTCGGGTACTAGCAGAAAAACGAAAATTACATCAGGATCGTCTCCTTCTTCGCCAGCATAGTCACCATCATCCTCTCCTTGACCGCCTTCCGAAAGCGCGGAATGCTGCAAATACACATAAAATTTACAGAACAAAAACACTCGCCTGGGCTGGCGAATCGAAGTTTGAGGGGGACTCGGTCGCCGACGTGCCCAAGTCCTTGTTTGCCTGAAAATCTAGATAAATCTAAACAATGCCACTCACATGTTGGCTAATCTGGCCTATGAATTGTTGCAGCATCTCTTGCGCCTCAACGTCTTCCCTGAAAAAAAATAAAGTAACATACAAAAAAGAATTCCGAACATTTGCCGGCGTCGCTCCTTCTTTCTCTTCTTCTGCCGCACCTCGCTATCATCACTGGCATCGGAATCGACTTTGACCCTGAAAATTGTTTCTTTTTTAGAAATTAGCTCACTTTTTGCTCCTCGCATCCTTGGCCGCTCTGTGAAGCGCTTGGACGTACGCGCCTTTCTCGATCGGGAACCCTCTCGCCTTCTCGAATGCTAAAAATTTGGTCTGAACAAAAATTCTGCGAAAATACCAGCAATTGCCTCGTGCGAGGACCACTTGAGCTGCTCGATCAAAAACCGGCAAATCAGGTAGCCGCTCCGGTTGACGCCGTGCGTGCAGTGGACGCCAATATAGAGCTCTAAAAATATGGAAACATCGACAGCCTTCGTTGCTAGGTTTACCTGCATTGTCCTTGTCCGACAAAAAGCGCTCCACGGCCGAATAGAAGCTATCAACGACCTCCTCGCGCTCAACGAATCCGCGGCCCGGGGCGAAGATCTTTTCATAACTAAATGAAGGCTAAAAAGACAGATGAAAGGCTTACTCGACACACATCCCTTCGAACTCTTTGCGGTCATAGTAGCGCGTGGTGTCGGTGAGGTCGATGACCAAGCCGAGCTGGATATGACGTTCCGCTAGCTGAAAAGACAGAAATTCCCGATAGTATGAAGCGTTTTCATACTTTAATGCAGACTTGGCAATCCCGGCCGGCCCAGCCGCCCGGCCGAGCCGCCGGCCTAATTTCCATAAAAACCCGGCCCCATACGAGCCGCGTTAATGACTTACTTCCGGAAACCCGGCTTCCCGGTCCAGCCGGCATTTAGTTGCGGCCCGGCCAAGCCGGTCCGGCCGAGCCGGGAAACCGGAAGTTGTTCATTTACTTATAGAATCAGTGTATCCTATGCAAAATTGTGAATGGAAATGACAAACTTTCTTTGGTGGAATAGTTTAGCCCTTGCCATAAAGCCAATTATTGATTGAATCCGCAATTTGCGTATCGGAAACACGAAAACCTCATTTGGGTCCGGCTTTCCGGCTTTTCAAAAGCCGGCGGCTTGGCCGGGGCTCCGGCCTCAAAACATAAAAAAGCCGGGGCCGGACCGGAAGCTCCGGCCCAGCCGCGCGGCTCGGCCGCATGCTAATTTTTCCGGCCGAAAAAAGCCGGCGGCCCGGCCGTTTGCCATGTCTGCTTTAATGCAATTTTCTACCCCGGAAAAGGTCTTTTATCTTCTTCTCATGACCTATCTTTTCGGGTGACAATTTCTAACCTGCTAGTGATGTCGATGACTCGAAAACTTTTTAAAACTTTATTAATCGAATTAAATAGTGTTCAGTCATTTCTCGCGCGGCGCGTCAATTGGTATCCAAAATTCCCCCGAAAATTACAACTGGCGCTGCTTGCTTAATAAATTCGGGCCGCTAGTAGCGTGCCACCCATTAGTCAGACCGGAAAAACCCTTCTAACTCTAGAAAACCGATAAAATCCGAAGACCGAAGACGAAGACCGACCGTTCGGTATAGATGTAAAGTTGTCCAATGGTCCTTCTTCGGCACTTTCGTCAGCAGCCGCTCGTTGAGTGGAGTTTTGAAGACGATGAACCGGGTGTTCGGGATCACCTCGCCGATGGTCGAGTAGCGCGTCCAGCTGAATCGCGTATAACAAAAATACGAGGTCGCCTACCCATTAGGGACAACACGATGCGTCTTCACCATCGTGGGGTCAAAGTTGGAAGCTTGAAACCTAAAAATATCAAGCTACGACGAGAGGAGGGATTGGATTGGGCCGGCCCTCGGCCTGCCAATGACTACGCGGCGATGCTCTAGACAGTGGCCTGAGATTACCTAGCGTAACGTTCAATTGAAAATGATAAAAAGCTGATAATTGCAACAAAAAACTGGAAAAAAATACATTGTAAATAGAGGCTTTGGTATTGGAAATCTTTAAAGATAAATTTGAGTTGGCGATAAGTCTTCCGGCTTACGCGACCCAATATATAAGTTTTTTGAAGCCTTAACCCGGAAATTCAAAAGAATAAAAAACGGAAAACTACAACTAAAAATAATACTATTAGGGTTCCTTTATACTTTTTTGCTATAGACCCAGAGTTTGGTCTCAATTGTTTTCTGCGATAATTAAGCCAAAACCGAAGTCCATGGTGAGCTCTAATTTCTTCACTTTTTTCCAAATTTCGCCGCTAAAATAGCTTCTTGAACTCCAGTTCTGATCCCTATCCCCTATGTTTCCTTTTCGGGCACTTCCATAAAAACGTGACGACGATGCGTCGACGAAGTGTAATTCGAGACGGCTGCCCCCGAAATTAGGCACCGTCACCGGCCGCGCGTTCATTCCAGAACAGATCTACGGGTTTTGGGGTTTTGTGAGTGAGCCCCGGGTCGGGTTTCGGGATATTTCGGGGATGCGCATCTAATTTCCGGTGAGCCTGGAAGTTGCCATCGGCGAGTGACGGTCGCCTTATCGTTTTTTTTCCGGTCGACCGGAAAGTACGAATCTGGTGGTTGTCCTTTTAGGGAGCTCGAGTCTCTATTTCATGACTGTGTTAAAAGCGCTTCAAACTGAAAGGTCTAAAAAGGTTTCCTCTTAGCGGGTGGGGGGGGGCGAAACTAGGAATAAATTCTGCCTACCTAGTGAGTTCTGAGCCTTTTATGGTGTTTTTTCGATAGTTTTTAATGATTAAAAAGTCAAAAGTGTTTTTAGAAATTTGTGAAGTCATGTTCGACCAAAAATTTAAATTTGCAAAAATTTTAAGAATTTTTATGAACTTTCTATAATTTAGAAAATTTGAAAATTTTAGGGTTTGTTAGTGTATCTTTTCTGTTTTCTAACAAATTTGGATCATTAAGAGGTTCTAGAAACATTTTTAAAAACATTACAAACAGCATTTTTGCGCAAAAATCAAAATATTCGAGCACTGTCGGGATTTTGGCATGTCGAGATTTTGGCTTGTGGGTTTTTTAGCTGTCGGGATTTTGGCGGGTTTGGCTGTCGTCCCCCCTCCCCCCGTTAACACCCTAGTACTCACTTGCCGGGGCCAAAAAATATTGGATATTTCTCAGCCTGGGACGGCGTCTAAGTTTAGCTGTCGGCTTTGGCATGTCGATATTTTCGTCTATCGGTTTTTTGGCTTTCGGGATTTTAGCTGTCGGCATTTTGGCTATCGAGATTTTGGCTGTCGGTATTTCTCTCGATTTTCGCAAAAATCCCGATTTTTTTTTTGCTGTGCCGGGGACGACGTCTGCAGAAGTGCGGGTGGGGCTGAGGGATGGGTCCCCCGGGGAGTTGAGGGTGTCAAAGGTATTATTTTGGGTGTAGGATGGCCCGGATCGGGACATCGATCATGATGGCGTTGTTGGGTGGGAAGGTGACGTGATCCAGGATGTTGTTTACGGGCCCACATGTCTTGCTTGTTTTTTGGAGTAATGTACTCTTTGAGGTATCGCGATACTGCTGTTGTGTGAAGTCGTTTTGCAGGATTTCTGAGGGTGGGAAATAGCAGACATGGCAAACGGCCGGGCCGCCGGCTTTTTTCGGCCGGAAAAATTAGCATGCGGCCGAGCCGCGCGGCTGGGCCGGAGCTTCCGGTCCGGCCCCGGCTTTTTTTATGTTTTGAGGCCGGAGCCCCGGCCAAGCCGCCGGCTTTTGAAAAGCCGGAAAGCCGGACCCAAATGAGGTTTTCGTGTTTCCGATACGCAAATTGCGGATTCAATCAATAATTGGCTTTATGGCAAGGGCTAAACTATTCCACCAAAGAAAGTTTGTCATTTCCATTCACAATTTTGCATAGGATACACTGATTCTATAAGTAAATGAACAACTTCCGGTTTCCCGGCTCGGCCGGACCGGCTTGGCCGGGCCGCAACTAAATGCCGGCTGGACCGGGAAGCCGGGTTTCCGGAAGTAAGTCATTAACGCGGCTCGTATGGGGCCGGGTTTTTATGGAAATTAGGCCGGCGGCTCGGCCGGGCGGCTGGGCCGGCCGGGATTGCCAAGTCTGGGAAATGGTGCATTTCGCGAATCGAGCTCTATTTTGGATATAAGAAAAAAAACTTAGGTTATTTAAGCGTCGAAACTTGTCATTTCGCTAATGGAAGTAGAGGAATTTCGCTAATTTTAAGAACTTTTTACACCTTTTTATAATGTAGTTAGGTTTCCCACTTTTTTCAAAATTTTCTTCAGTTTTAAACAGTGCTTTTTCATCCCGTTTCCGCTTTTTCCAGTCCTTCTTTGATTATTTTGTTTAGTTACCATTTTTTGCAAAATTTTCTAGGTATTCAGGCACTTTCACATTATCGGGGGGTAACCAATTTTTCCTATAGCGCCAAAAATGCCTAATAACGGTAGTAAGGGTCTTAATGGTTTTTTTAGCTACATTTAACTAATTTCAACTGGAAAAACTATGCTAAAAACTTTGAAATTTTTTTGTGTTGATCCCCCTGAGAAACACCCCCCCGATAATGCAAACGAACCAGTTTTTCAGAGCTTAAAATTCCAGTTTTCAAGTATTTTTCGAGTTTGCGGTTTGCGGTAGGTTTAGGTTTCAAGCTTCAGCTTAAGATTTCCCCCGCTTGCAAGTACTTTTGCCGATTTCCCGATATACCCGAGCTTTTTTCCGCTTCCTTAAATTTTCCCAAATTTCCACGCCGCCTAATTGGCCAAGAAAAACCCGGGCCCGGCAAAATTCGGTGATAATTTTTTCGTGCGAAACCCAGGGTGGCGCGCGTTTCCGGGAACCCCAAACTAAAGTTCAAACGGGTCCCCCCCCGCAGGCTTCGAGCTAATCCAGTTACGGGGCGCGGAGGGGAAAATTCGTCATCGCAGACTCCAAACACTTTAGGAGTCAAAAAGTCCCGGAATTTGTCACGGAGCAGGGGCTCGGGGGGGGCGCAAAACGGAAATGCGTTTTGTCGGAGGTGGTTATGTGTTGCTGCTGGTTATTGTGGGTGCTGACAGGGACTCAAGAAGGAATTCCCGGTGCTTTTGCATGATCGGGGGGGTAATTTTCCGCGTAATTCTAGATATTCTAATGTGATTGGAAGTAGTAGTAGTAGTACGAAAAAATTTGGCCCCCCTACCCGATTTTGCGAAAAAAACGAATTCCCGAAAGTGTGTAGTGTTGCGGGCATGTCATTAAATGGGTCAATTTGCGGGCAAAAAGCGGAAATGGGCGCAAGGTAATTATTAGAGCCCCCGCAAAATGTGTTCTGATTGGAAATGTCAAGTTTCTGTCAGGGAAAAGGTCAAGGTGAAAAAAAATGGCAAATTGGTCTTGTTGCAGACCTGTGGTGCCGTCTGGGTGTCTAGTTTTTTGGGCGTGTAAATAGGCAAAAACGTTAGAATTATTGTTATTTTAAAACGGAAATGATTATTACTACGCATGTTTAAGCTTAAGCTTAACGCTAAGACAAAACCTAAGCCTAAGCCTAAGCCAAGCCCAAGCCTATCCTGAGCCTAAGCCTGTATAGCCTGGTTTTTAGAGTTTTCTAGCCCCAGATTGTCGCCAGTTTCCGGGTAGCCTAGGGGGAACATTGCTCATAAATGGCGAGAGCGCGAAGAACAGCCAAAAAAGATAAAGATCGGGTAGACTAGGGGGGAGAACAAAGCGAGAGAGACAACGCGGGTCCACTCTCCCGCCCGTTCCGCATGTTTATTTGGTATGGCACATTAGGGCGGGAAGTCTCGACAAGGGATGCCGCGCATTTTGGGTGATTATCGTTGTTGCCTCATTGTTGTAGGGTTTTTAGGATTTTTAAAGCCGGCTAGGCTTGGTTTAGGGGGGCTTCGGCTTGGCTTAGACTTGGCCTAGGCTTGGTTTGGACTTGGCTTAGTCAGGGCATGGGCTTAGGCTTAGGCACGGCTTAGGCTTGGTATGGGCTTAGGCTTGGCTTAGGCATGGCTTAGAATTGGCTTAGACTTGGCTTAGGTTCGGCCTGGGCTTGGCTTAGGCTTGGCTTAGGCATGGCTTAAGCTTGGTCTGAGTTAGGCTTAAGCTTAAGCGTAGGCGCTCGGCTTAGACTTAGGCTTGGCTTAGGCATGGCTTAGGCTGACTTGGCTTTACTTGGTTTAGGCGTGTCTTATCCCACTCCAGCAACATAGCGAAGCAATAGCGAAAAGCATCAGCGCCAAAAAACCATACTTTCCCACCCCAAAATACCCGTGGAATTTGAGATATCTGCGCTTACTTTGGGGGCCCGTTTCCAGTCATGTTTCGTAGGCTTCTCCCGAGTGGGGGATTACGGTAGCCAAAAAAGGGGGCCATTTTCAGGGCTCTTTTTCAGGCGGGCCGCAATTTTCCTGGCGACTTAAGCGGGTTCTAAATGGGATATTTTGTGCCCGGGTTTTGAAATTTATTTTCTTCATAGCTGCCTATTCTTACGAACTTTAGAAAAATATGTTTTGATTGGGCTCAGGCTGGTACTGGTACTTATACTTACCGTGCGTGCTTTAAGTACGCGAAAATCACCAAATATATAAAATCGCAAACACACGGACAAAGGTCAGTTGCGTTACGATATTTTTGCATTCACGCCCTGCTAAAAGCGTCCGATTTTGTATAATTGTTTACGCGTTTTGAATAAAAACGCTGCCGGCGCGGAGGGAATTTTTTTTGAGCCCTGGCGGAGCCGATGCACTTGTATTTTTCATCTTTATTCTAATTTTATTCTGGATTAGTTTTGGAAAGAAGGGGTTTTGTCCG